GTGTGTGTGTGTGTGTGTGTGTGTGTGTGTGTGTGTGTGTCATGCAATCATGGTGAAATGTAAAAGCAGCTGGTGCTGTAGTGTTTTTTTCTAATACAAAAATATCTGAATATATATCCTATCAATTGACTGGAGTATTGAAACCCAGCACTGTGTTCAGTATACCTTCTACCTCACACCACAATGATACATTAGTCTGTTTGGTAATAAATATCTGATATTCAAGCATCCATTAACAGAATTACACAAAACAGAATTGTTTATGTTGATCATTAATGGTACTGATCATACCTCTGCAGTCTGAGCACAGTCTTTAGTTCTTTTGTGGAGTAGAAACCAATTCTCCTCATACCTACAGGAACAAATGTTATATTCATGAATATGCTGCTTACAAGCTGATTAGACACTGACTGTGTGTTTGTGTGTGCAGTGACCTGCTCAGGATTTCCAGTCCCGCACTGAAAAGTGGAGGGCTTTCTTCAAACCTGAACAACAAACAGGAGAAACACACATGATCAAAATTTTAACTTCTTTCTGCAGAGTACATAAAAATAACAACAACCAATCAACCATTTCTGTCATGACACCAGTTTCTAAGGGATGATACAGGGCATGATGGGGAACAGAGACCTGTGTGGAGGAATGTTTGACCTCGCAAATTATATCTTTCTATCATTTATATCACATTCAATGCACAGAAACACACAACAGTGTTCTGCTGACCTGGGTCTTCTCTTGGTTTTGGTGTCTCTTGATTTATCTCCAAGTGTCTTTAAGCTGGAGGAAGGAATAGAAGATGTCAGTTCAATGAGAACACATAAGAAAAGAGAACAAGGACCACGCATTAAACAGTCCTGTGCTTTGAAGGCCATCCCTCACACATTTGCTGTTTCTCAGTTCAGAAGCTGCATCTCTAGAGGACGCTGTCTACCCAGCCCAAGAAGGAGGCTGTCTTTGTGGCCTGGGCTAAACTGAAATGAGACGGACGAGGTGGACACAACAAGAAAGTTTTAAACCCTTTGGTTTTAGTAGAGTTAACTGCTTAGTTAAGTTAGTTTGCCAGTGCCATAAACCTCTTTAAGTAAGGTTTGTCACCGAAGCGCAGGAAGGATCCACCCGTGGGAGCTTCTCGGGGGATAGAAGCCCAAATAGTAGGTTTCATTAGAAGGAGCCTTCGAAATGGGACAGCGCCACTGTGACGCAATCTGTCTTTAAATGCAGCCTCTGAAGAATGCAGCCCCTGAATCGAAACACAGCTCATGTTTTTAACAGAATCAGAAGCTCATCCAGTTTTCTACTCAACATCTAAGGTCTTATTTTCCAGTAGTGGTCAGTATTTCTTATAAACCTTTATTGTTGTGGGCTGGACACATAGCATCCGACAACTATTGATCTCAAATAGCTTTGTTTTTATGTGTACTGTGAATGTAACGTTTATTGTTTGTTGTCTATATTTGGAGGTACATGAGTTACCCCATTGGGATTAATAAAGTTTTATAATCTAAGAACAGGAAGAGGTGGGGATTGAACCTTTGACACTGCGTTAAATCGATGACCCACACTTCCCCCTGAGCCACAGCCACCACAACTCACCATCTGTTCAGATACAGGCAGGACAAACATAGAAACGACGCAGAGGACTCGTCGATTGTTGAAGTCCAAAGCTTTACTGGTTTTTAAAACGAGTGTCAGTGGGCTGTCTGTGCTGCGGGTACAGCTGAGTGGAAACACACCTCATCACATGATGCTCAGCTGACAGCAGCTAACACCGCCGAGCTTCAGCTCAACGCGACCAAAACATACATGTCACTGAGACTAAACATACATGTCGCTGAGGACACGTATGACACAAAGAGAGGCGTCACGTTAACGCACACACGGTGGTGAATGTGAAGTTAGCTGAGGCTAAAGCTGACGCTCAGTAGATGCTAACTGAAGCAGACTGACCCGGTGGTGAAATCCTGCTGCACCATGTGAAGTCTTTCTCTGAAGTTTTCAAACATGGCTCCTCACAGCGACGTTTCTCCGAGCGGAGCTTGTTGTTGGACACCAGATCTCTGCTCCTGCAACCGTGATGAACACTGAGACACACACAGTGAGAGGTAAACACAGTGAGAGGTCAACACAGTGAGAGGTAAACACTGTGATCACACTGACACTCTGCTGTATCCTGTAGAGCTGCCACCTTCTCTATGTCCCGCTGCTGGTCTCACAGGCAGCACGTCCACCCCCTCACAGCAGCTGTGTTCATGTGAAAAGTTACAGATGAAACTATCTGGTGTTCTTATTTTTCTTTGTGTTCGAACACAAACTGTTGTGCAAAAATTAAAAAAAGATCTTCATGTAGATCGAGAAAGTGTGCCTGACAGGATGAACTCGGGGTAAAACATCACCACTCTGTTCCTCTTCTATTTGAGTATATAGGGCAGAGGTGTTTGATGGACTTGGCGCTACCGCCCTCCTGTGGCTTTGTGAGGGCCTTACAGTAGGTCTGCAGTATATAGCTGCTTTCAGACCTGTACTAACTACTGAGATCCGGACAATATCCGGAGGGGCTGGGAGTGCAAACGCAAATGTCTGAGAGCCTGACAGTGAGAGAGACTTTCTCCGGCCAGCCCCAGGTGAAAAGTCAGCAGAAAGTCTGGAGAAGTGTTTCTAACACGAGACACATGCGGTGCCTTACACACAGAAGACAGACAAAGAGTGTTGAAGTGCTGTTAACAAACTCACATGATCTCAGCAGAAGAATGAATATGTTATATCTTCCCCCGGCCTGCTGCACCACCCCTAACCTGAACACTTTGGAGATTTCTGTTGTTGTGAACGTGTCAAGTGGAGAATCTCCTGCTGCGTTGTTCATGTGTGGAAGGCTAAACTCCACAGTAAGTCCAGACCATGTACTCTGGACATCCTCTGGAGGTCATGCATGAAGACTTGGTGGAGCGAGGTTACAACGAAAACTGGTCCCATAGCATAGTTGGAGAAGGATTATAGAGGAAATAGAGTTTAAGTGCAAAGTCCTGCAACCATCCCTGTATACGGTCTATGTGCACAACAAACAGAATATTTAATGGATGTAATGGCAGAGGGCTGGATTTCAATATTTCACGCTCTCTGTGTGTGAATCTCTTCATTTCTGATATTTATTTTCTGCAATTTTTTTTTTATTTATGAATTCAGTGTGAAATCTGCACACGCTGTATCACACCCTTACAATAGTAGAAAATATGTTGAATCTGTTGTGTATGTAAACTGTTTTTTATATGCAATCCAGCAACTTCACTTCCAACACTACATGTGTTCATGATTCATAACAATTCTCATTATCCGACATCTTGGTTCACTGCACAAAAAGTAATGTTTTTGTTTTCAAAGTGAATAGATCACAAGTGAATCCTTGATCAATGTACATATTGTCAAACATCAGCTTCAATAAAGAGCTGTAACAAGCTGACAGGATATGAAACCAACAGAAGAAAATCTTATTTGCTCAGCTTTAAGTTGCTAAGTGTTGAAACAGCGTCACATTAAATTAGACAAATGCACTTGGAGAAAAAATTGCACAAAGAAATTTTATCTAAAATTCTCATTCATATCATTCACATTTACAGACTTTTTACAGACACTTTCCTTACACTTTCTCTGCACAGACGTTTTCATGTTCACTTGGGGCTGAACAAGTTTGCTCATAAACTTCAATAACACTTTAAAGTTGTTTTACCGGTAACTAGCATGGGATACATGACACATGAATTAATGGAAACAAGGCATGAATTGATTTATTCGAGGACCCATTTTGGAGGACAGTTGTCTCCGTCCACATGAGATCAGTCGCTGCAATAAACACATTTATATTGCTCGCTTTTGCGATTGAAAATCGTTGCGACAGATGAATGAATCGTGTGAGGTGCTGAATAATATGCACATGTTCATGCAAATGTCAGCACATAGTACACTGCAGATCCATTTAGCAATGAGTCATACAGTGTACATCCAGTGATTAGTCTGCAGCAACAACCTGTGGAACTAATGATCACTGATGAATTCACTTAGCAGGAAGCATTAAACACTTGAAACAAAAAAAAGGAAGCACTTTCACAAAAAAACTGTGGTGTTACCATTTGACAGTGTCACTGTGTGGTAAACTGTTTTATACTTTATGGAAGAGCACTCTGATGAGTCAGTGTTAAGCAATGCTTCACAGTATCATAAGTGGAAGAGCTTTCACTTAAAAATGTAAGTATTTAAGAAGTAGCTTTTGAAGTGAGTTGTAACAACTGCTTCCTCTACAAACCCCATACTTACATTAAGAAATAACGACAGTGTATGTTTGATCAAAGTTCCGCATCTCAAACGGATTCATGCCTTTATTTATATCTTAGTTTTAATGTGTTAAATTAACACACTAACTGCTGATTTACACTGATAAAACACAGCATACATATGGACGGAGTAGAAATAGCTAATTTACAAATACTAAATTTGTCAGTTACTTATTTAATGGTGGGAACAACAATGTTTTTCATGGAAAGTGTTTGTTTAAAATAAAGCAAAGGCAGCAGTGTCCACTGCTGTCACCCACAGTGGCGTTTAGAGTCATACAGTTTTTTTTAACTGTGTGGAAATGTGCAAAATTAATAAATGTGCTGACTCGTTTTATTCAATACAGCCACATAACTCTACTACTCATCTACCCCAAAAAAATTATAATCAATGAGCAAGTTAATAGCACCGGATAGCACCTGATGTCATCCTAAAACCTTCTGACAGTCCAGTAAAATCCACAACATCTACGGGGTTCATACAGTCAAATATGATGGTCACATTAACAGTGAAGGTCAAACCGCAAGTGTTTCTTTTTACAGTTTCTGTCTACAGCCGCCTCACAAAACAAATGTCCTCTTATATCTACAAAAGTGTCAGACCACACGACTCAGAAACAAGCCGCATGTGAGTACGCAGCCACCGCTGTTTCTCACACACCAAGTCGGGGGGTACGGAGCGGGCAATAAAAACGTAAAAAGATCGAAAACACAGGTAAAAACAACACCATAGTTGTTCCTGTATATTTCACATGTGACCTACTTCAAAACATTTTTTTCCAACAAGAAGAACAGTGGACTGAAGAGTCTTCCTGATGTTAGATGAGCAGTTTTCAGACATTACCTCTTAAGGATGTCCGGAAGATTGGGTCCGAACTTTCTCCAAATGTTTCCAAAGAGATTCTCCGCTCACATCTCCGGAGTGTTCAGGTGAGGGTGGAGCAGCAGGCAGAGGCAGGATGTCACTTAATCATTCTGCTGCAGAGATCATGTGTTTTTGTTCACAGCACATCCACAACCAGCGTCGGCTCTTATCACCAAACTCAACTCTCTTGACATCTTCAGTGTCTTCTACGTGTATGGCACCACTTTTTCATCCTGAGATATTTGTTGAAGGTTTTTTTTTCATTTTTCCGTCTGTCACGGTGAATCCTGCGAGGAGCTCCTGCTGTGTTCTGACATCGTCTACTTCGGACTATCTGCAGACTTTTTACAAGGGAGCTGGGTAAGGAAACTCCACAGAAAGTCCAGAGGCTCTCCCTTGGACATTTGTGTTCACATATGCAGCCCCTCCAGAGAATGTCCGAGGGATCTCCAGAGTTCAGTGTATGTCTGAAAGCAGCTTTAGGCTGGTGAAGACAGTTGAGCTGGTGACTTGGATGCCCATATGGATGTTAAAACAGGGTTTCTCGCTGTAATCATTTCTCCTGTTCAAAATGGCTATTACAAGAAACTTTAATGACTATGAATGGAACAACATCCATCCTCCTCACTTTACACAAGAATACATTCTAAAGTTTATATGGATATGACATGAGGTTTCAGCAGTCTCAGACTAAGTTCTGTCGTCCATCACTTCCACTAATATTGATTTGGGAAGGGATCTTTCAATAAACAGGAAAATGAATACTGCCAGTAAACCTGTCTCATTGATCGTATAAGCAATTGACTTGTACTTTGACAGACAAAAAAAGTTGAACCTCCTGCTCCTTCTGAGTATTTATGGTGAGGAACTCTTAAGATGTTATCAGTCCAGACACCCTTGAACAGATGATTCCTGTTTACAATAAGCGGCAGTGGGTTCCCAACGACCACACCGAAACCACCAGGGCAAAGGCAAATAAGAATAACTGCTACTGAAAACTGTTCAGCAGACTGACTGTACGTATGTACGTGCGTTCATTTAGCCAGTGCCCTTTCCTTCTGAATATAATACAAACATACTGCGCTACTATGTAGGATACAGCCGGGAGGCGCCACAAATCAGTCTTTTCACTATACACACACTATACAACTTGTCTCCCTCTATGCTGTCTAACGATAATTGATTTTACTTATAATGAATTTAAATGATCCCACTATCACAGACAGATGCGAGAACAAGCCATAGACACTATGTCACTATCCAACCAGCCAATAACCATCACCCTGCATCACCTATTATTAACAGTATCCAATTATGATCCAATAAATATTGTTCTAATTGAGGATTCTCTTTATATAAAACACTGACTCGTTTTCAGATGTAGCTCAGGTGTTATCGTTTCAAAAGAATTCGAGGGCTGGTCCTGGTCTTCATAGCTGAGGTAGTAGACTTGGTCTGGGTAAGGCCCTTTGTAGAGCCCTTGGAAGTGCTAGAACAGCTACTGACATTAGCCAAGTCCTCTGGGGTACTATTGGAAGAGTCTTTTACAGCACCTTGGGAATTAGGGATAGAGTAACTGCTGGTTGGAGAAGTACACTTGATAGTGTCCTTGCTAGTACCTTTGTTAGTTGCCTTAGCACTGTGCTTGGCAGAATACGTGCCTGATGGTTCAGTGTGTACACATGGAGATGTCTCTGAGTTGATAGCAGCTTGAGTTAGAGTAGTCCTTGGAGTGGCAGCTATGGCAACAGTCCTAGAATCAGTAGTCCTGGTGATTGGCCTAATTATTGTGGATGAAGTGGACTGATTTCTCTGGAGCCTTTTATGTCTGACTATGACCTCGCTGACAGGGCCAAGGTCAAAGTCTGAGATGATGTTGGTAAAGTTGAGCCTTTCTTGAGAGGGCTCAGGAGCAGTGATGCTTGCCACACTAAATTTTCCAACATTCATCTGGTCCTGCAGGTCCTCATCAATAACACCACCCCTCTTAAGGATCATCTCTTCAACATGGCCACACCTGCCTTGTCCAGGTTCTTCATTGTTGCTCCAAGCGATTTTACCCACATGTTTCACACACTCCTCTCTGACATCTTTATCACTGCTGGCCTCCTTCTTTAGCATCCCACCAATATGGCAATCATTCTCCAGTGAGACATCACCTTTGTTTTTCTGCACCGTTCTGCACTTCTTTGATGAGTTCTTGTCCGAAGGAACCTGACTGGGAGGGGCAGGGCTGGTGTCTGGTGGGAGACCTCTCCTCCTCCTGGACGACCTCAGGACCCCAGAGTTCTCACTTAGACGTGTGATGACTGAGCCATTAGTCAGTGGTGTTTGAGCTGGGATCCTACTAGATTTTTTTCCTGAGTTCTGAAGACTATGGAAGGTCTTGGGATTGCTATGGCAGTTAATGACTGTTCGGTGGTGGAGAGGAAGGGGGTGTTTTCGAGGCAGCTGGTGGTTGCTTTGCCGGGAGATGTGTTTGTTGCTGGTTTCCTGGGGTTTGCTTTGGGGATGGCCTCTTGGTTTACAGGTATTTCTTGACCTTGTGCAGGACCTGGGTGATCGTCTACTGCCAACCCCTGCGCTAGGCTTTAAGGGAGGAACTGGCCTGACACAGGAAGTTCTTTCTTTAGCAACTCCAGTCACCATGGCAACCTGCAACAGAAAAAGATCATGACAGCTATCATTGAAGCCTAGGAAGGATTATAATAACCGAAAACAATTATTCTGTTAATGGATAATTGATTGTTCTTTACAGGTCCAGTGACATACATCCAAGGTGATTCATAAGAGGAAAAAGAGGACTTTGGTGGGTTAGGAATAATTGTTCATTTGATTTCTCAAAAGTGGGCAGGAGTTTAACATCAAGTATGTATTTGCAGAAGTGCATGTGGATGAATAGCTTCAGAAACCCAAAGCAACACCATGAATGTGTATAAGGGGATTTTATACTATCACAATGTTCAAATGGAGGCCCTCCTCCATATTGAAATATTACCATCTGTCAAACTCGTTTGATTTGACTTGTAGAAATAACCAGATAAGAAAATTAAACTCAATCAAATAAATGTTGTCAGTTGCAAAGCTGCAGAGATTAATCATCGAAATGCTTCCTCTCATCATCACAGCAAACAACAAACAGGACCCTATTTCGATATCAACATGAGCACGGCCAACAGACTGAGGGTTTTAAGCCACCTGCTTTTTGAGAACATGCAGAGAGCAGAAGCAACAAGCTGGCTGAGGTGGAATATCGATCATTTTCCAGGTAGAAAGGATGATCAGACCTTGTTCGTCCTCCTGACCTGTAGGGAGAGCTGGCGAGGCCTCACAAGGTGTCTCCCAGCCCCCCCTCTCCTGTCCTCCTCCATCCTCTCTCTCCTCCTCCTCCGATGTTCCTCCTCTCTCCCCCCTCTTTCCTTCCTACTCTGTTCTCGAGCAGAAAGAGCACAGAGAGAGCCGACTGCTGCAGAGCCTCCAGTCCTGCCTCTCAGAGACCTCGAGTCCCTCTGCACTGTAGGACGGCAACACAGATACAGAGGCAAAGAGATCAACTAATATTATATATACATAAGAATATGAATATTTCTTTAAGCAAAGAGAAAAACATGTGTGCCCAAGTTCAGCTCCATCAGGTATATACACAGACAGGAAGATGTGTACCTGCTGTTCGACTAAATATACTCGTTTTTTTTCCATCAGCTGCAGTCCTGTGATTGGTGGAAAGACAGGAAGTAAGACGCCGAGTTTCAGATGGCTCCCTCACTCGTCCACTTGCTAAGAAGGCCATGTTGCTAGGCAGTGCTGCTGAACCTGAAGAGAAAGAGGAAATGCCTTATTGATTTTGGTGGGTGATCCTTATTGATGGAGTCCAGGACAAACATTCCCTGTGCATAGATGCCAAATGAAATCTGCTCTTTTTTGGAGTGGAAGGAAACTTTAGACTCTGGACTCAAAGATATGAAATGATTGGACATGAGGCCTGTTTTGCCTCATGTGCTGTCTCCAGGCAATAGCACTGTATAAAAGGCAGCCCTGACCATCTAAGCAAGTCTAAACCTGGCCTTGGCATGTTTTGGTTGGACAGTCGCTCACAGTCTGCTCAGCAGTGTACATATTAGGGCTGCCATGATTTTCACTGAACAAATATCATGGCCAAAAGAATACATGATAATGATATCACAATATCTCTGGACAGAAAAAAAACAATAATGATACTAACTGTCAATTTCATCTTTAACTTTCTATATTGTATGCTTAATCACATTTTTGAAAAATAAAATATGTTTAAATTCTCAGTTTGTGCAATTTTACCATTATTACATAATATGTTATTATTAATAGTAGTAGTAGTAACAGTGAATGATAATTGAATTTCATTTGGCCCACTACAGTTTCAAGATAGCCTCTTTCTCACACTCACTCACTCACTCACACACTTTAAATGTGTCTCTACTGTCCCCCTGTGTTCAGATCTCACTTCCCTGCTCTATATGCAAATGATCATGCAAGTCATTTCAACTAGCGAAGACCAAACAATGTTGCTTATAGCCAGTCTATACAGATGTGGCCGTTGGCACACACACATCCAGCAGAGTTCAGTATCCAGACCATAAAAGGACAACATATGGGAGCCATTTTGCCTCTGACTAGTACTACCTCTTACAAACAATCTTCTTTGCTCTTTTAGAATTTATATCAGGAGAGCAGGAGGAGAAACTGTGGGGCTAGAACTGTGGGATTGTGGAGTGTGGAGCTGAGACATATCAGGTACTGATCTAAATGTAAATAAGCAGTAGCTTGTGTATAGGCAGTGCCGGAGCTTGTAGCTCACCTCTCAAACAGAGAAAAGACAAGAAATCCTCAGTCTTGGGTCGTCGTCGGGTCAGACAGGTGACTACGGCCACGTTGTGACTGTGGTTGCTCTGTGCTGATGTCACCAGTGCTGGTGGTCCTGGCGAGCTTGGGGGGGATTGGGCGAACTTCCTCTGTGCTTGCAGCCTCGGTCTGCACAGACACACACACATACAAATTGCCCTCTTAAAACTTTTCTGCAACTAACATGTCGAGTGGGGCTTTAGTCCACCAGAAGAAAGAAAAACTTCATCAACTGAAATTGTCCCCACTTTTTAAAACAAATCTACACTTTATTTCTGGATGAACACAGAGTGAACTCTACCTGGTCTAATTATTAGCCTAAATAAATCATAAATAAATATTCACATTCAATTTCACATTAACCAAATTATTAAATCAAACACTACAATATGTCTATTCTGATGCGTTCACAGTTTCAGTGTCAGGTGGTAATCACAGTTGGCGGAGCATCTGAACAAAGACGACTTAATTAGCTGTTTTTAAGAGGATGTGACATGTTGGTTGTTGAGCGTCTTTGACACAGTGTCAAATCATTTGAAGCCGACTCAGAGTAAAAGTTCAGTTGACGTTAAATAAAAATGTGACATGAACTCAAGAAAAGGACATTTTCACTCTCCCAGAACCCCTTTGATTCACGTCTCTCCAAGTTGCCATCGTTGTCACCATCTTTTTCATTCTGTGATAATTTTATTCTTCCAGTCCGAGTCCATTTCACAGGCAGAAGATCAGACAAGAGTGACTGACCTTTTGCCTGCAGCATCATCCTTCTCACGATAAATGCTGGCAGGGCGCCGCTGTTGAGGGCGTGTCTGTAAGGGCCAGCTCCAACTGGGACCAGTTGACAGGAGGGACTGACAGCGGCTGATGCCGTTAACCACGGAGCCTTCAGAGAACAGGTAGAACTTTACATCACCTTGGGAAATCATCTAAACAGTATAATATCATATCATATAAATCACAGCTATAAGGACAAAACTGTAACAAAAACACTACGTGATGTGAGAGAAATAGTTTGTATAACAGATGTTTGTGTTAAAAAATGAAAGAAAGGCAATGAGCTGGAATCATCTTTAAATTCCAGAGTAGCAGCAGTGCTGGTGAATGACAGCAGTGACTAGGACAGAAGTGAAGAACTGTGCTGGTACTGACCATTGAGTCTCGTGGGAGTGTGTGATCTCAGACTCCTGGCTGGGACAGGACCGCTCAGCATCATCCGTGTGTTTCCAGAAGTGCAGCTGTTTTTCACTGAGCGCTTGTGTTTTTCAGTTTCTGAGTATTTGGCGACGGGCAGCAGCAGAGTATTTTGTGTTTTATGTGAGCGTAGAGTCCTGGTCGTTTCAGCATTCCTCTGCAACGTGTGTGAGTTGTCTTGTGTGTCTGTATCCTGCGCATTATGTGTAATTTTACCTGCATACATTTTTGACTTGGTCTGAACGTTCTGTAGTGTGTAGGTACATTTAGTTTTTGGTGTGTGTAAGTCCTGAGACAAGTTCGTTTTTTGCCCTTGGTTGGTGAGTTCATGATGGTGTATGTGTTTTGAAATGTGTATATTTTGTGAACTGTGTGTGTTTCTCTGTGTATGTGTGTTAGGAGGTCTGTGTGTGACTCTTTGTTGCGAGGCCTGGACACTCTGTCGTGTGCGTGTGGTTTTTTGCGTGTGTGTGTTAGGTAATGTCTGTGTTCGCGGACCATGTAGAAGTGTATTCTTTGATGTGTGTTTGTGTGCGCGTGTGTGTACTTGTGAGTGCTTATGTGTGGCACGGTGTGTGTCTCTGAATTCCCTGAGGGAGAGGAAAAGAACTTTGCGAACCAGACGTTCTTCACACCACGGCATCCCATCACTGATGTCCTGCAGAGTCAAAGACACAGACACAACCAGCTCAGGGTCATTTCTCAAGTGTTTATGACGCATACCACATGGAAATGATCATATGCAAAAGCTAAACGCAAATGTAAAAGGATTGGAAAGAAAATCTCAACATACATGAGCCTAGTCTCAATTCAGTGGCTGTATCCTTCGGAGGCTGCATGTAAGACGTGAGACAGTCCCATTTAATGAGCAATAAAACTTTCTCATCATGTCCAACTTCGCTCTGTTGCAAGGCAACTGCAATTGAGGCCAGACGAGCTCTTAACACCGATCCTGAAGGGTGCAGCTCCTGAATTAAGGTAGGCTATTATCTCAAGGCCCTTTACATAGTAAGGTTGAACTCTTATAACATTAAAGAAACTCAATATGTTATATTAAAATGTATACTAAACATAGTCTGTCTATTAGAGAGTAATGACAAGTTCATTTTTGCCACACAAGCAACAAGGCTCTACACAATGTTGCTCCACCATTTTGGAGGAGAATCAAATAGCCCAAACATTCATGGTCCCCATGGGATAAGTTGCAAAGACTTCTGTGATCAACTTCTGTGATTCTGTCCAGAACAAAAGTCAGTGTGAGCACGGTCATAACCATAATGGTAGCAGCTTACCCTCAGCCACTTCATGCACCTTGACTACATGGAGGGAGGAGGGGTTTATTTCACCTCACTTCCTAGAGGCTTCATCAGTCCAGATGAGATAAAATGACCTTGATGATTGGGAATCTCCACAGGCCGAGCCCAGGCATCTGTTTTTGTCATTTTGTCAGGAGTATAGAGTTGTGTGTATGGTTTTATTTTGTATGTCTCAATCATTATAGAAGTGGGTGAACAAGCCTTATTTCCATCACTTATTAAAAAAGGAAATTACAATGTGCTTTGCAAAAACAGATCAAATGAAAATACTATTAACACATCAAACAAACAGATGCTTCCATTGAAAATCAAAAGAATGATATTCATTTTATGCATGTCCTTTCTTTACATTTTGAGTTACACAAAACCTTTTAGTCCTCTTCATCAATTATCATTTCATGCATTCTGCATCTCTGTCTTCTGTGAAACCTCGCCACATAGCAACTGGCTCACTGTGGTTGAATAATGGCATTTAGGCAGTCTCTTCTTCTTGCCAGATCTGGGCAAGTAAGCCATAGTAAGAACACATGTCAACTAAAGGTATCAAAGTTGGCCCAGATTAGTTTTATGTTATTTGGGCCATAATCACATTTATGATATGGGACACTTTAGGCTCACATCCATTTTGTCCGTGCTACAAGTCGTTCAGAATTGCTGCATCATTGCCGTAAGTGGCCCACATTCGTATTCTATCTGCAGCTCTGCATACAAGGATGTTGAAACACAACAGAGACCAAACTGCTATCAGAGAGTGATAACAGTGAATTGTGTGACTAATACTTCTAATGAATGTAGATTTGTTTGTACTTTAATGTCAATTCAACAGTCACAAACATGATATTCATTTTCTTAAATGTCGGAGTTAAACCACTATGAGTCTAACACAGAGAGAGGAAAGAAATCCCACTTACATATTTCTTCTTGATGATATTGCGTTTGGGTCTGTCTGTACTCATTTTGCCCAGCAGACACTGAGCAGCACATGAATTACAGCCCTGTGTGTCTTTGGCCTTTCACTCTCCTGCTGAGTTTTCTCTACAGGTGTAGGAATTCCACCGCTCTGTCCTGGAAAAGAGAAGTTGAGAAGTAAATGCAGGAGCGTTTAAAATATGCAAAACAGTGCTAATACAAGAAATGTCACAAGGCAGAATTGTTCCACTTTCTGCCAATTTTGACATTCAACAAGGGACTGTGTTTATTACAGACACACAGAGATTAGACTTTAAGCAACTTGTGTTCATTGATTCATCTCAGTTTGTGTCAAACTCCAGCACTTGATTATTGAAGGGGCATTTTGTCTTCTTTAGTTAGATATTGTGATGTATGATTGTCTTGCAATATTTCAAATATCTCTAAATTGCTGTATCGAGATATTATCATTATCACGAACCATGTATTGCGTATTGGGAGTTGCCCTGTGATTCCCACTCCACTCTGACTATTTAATCAAAGAAAATCATAAACAATAGAAAGAGTTTGGATTTAGAATCACTCATTATTTACTTCAGGAGCTGGTTCTCTCTATGGAGGCCACCATGTTTGACAAACTAAACATCTTTAGAGTTTCATGACAGCTGAAGGCTACTAGAGGTTCTCCATCGTGTTTGGAAGGGAAGGGTGAGTCGAGGGGTATTCAGCTGCAACATCCAGCGTCACCACTAGATGTCATTAAATTCTACACACTGAACCTTTAAAGAACATTTCCAGGCTCCAGTAGTCTGGTCCAGGCGATGAATCTGCACTGCAGTTTCTAACAGCATGCTGCGTTAGCCTCAAGTGTTTTCTGGTAATGAGGAAGGGACTCCATGATTCTGCCCAGCACCAACCTACTACACCTCCACAGTGGGAGGTGCCTTACACAACCAGTTTTGCTCAAGGGCACAAAGATGGAAGCTGATGATATGGATGAGCAGAACAGTGCTTGCATGTAACTGATCTGACAATCCATGAGAAGACATAATAAGACTAAGTAATCCATCTTTGTTTGCAGGAGGATGGAGGCCCCTTGTGTTTGATGTTATCTAGTTTGGACCCAGTTGGTTAATAAAACCCATCTCCATCGTGCACAGTGGAACAGTGGATCACAGCGGACAGTTTCACTCATGTGGAACAAAGCTCGTGTAAAACAATGCCTGTCCGTCCACCTGCAGCAGGACCACCGGCCTACAGGCGCCTCGCTCTCCGCCGCTCGCACACGCCTGTGGGGTCAGAACACGGTGTGCCCACCGCTACCCCCTGTGCATCGGCTCACCGTTCCACATCTGATCGACACATAAACACCACACACGCACATGGAACGACAATAACCGACCACCCACCTCCAGCAGGATCACCGGCCTACATCATGAGGGCACCGACAGCCGGACACACTAACGCACACGGCGCGTCACACGGACCATCCCACCGGCTCCGCGGGGCCGTTGTTCACTGCACCGCTCGGCTCCGTGAACCCATGAGTGAACCGCGACCACCGGCACCGCCGCTCAGCGCTGCACCACCGCGGTCACGTGAACCGCCGCTTCCGAACCGAGGCCAGCCCCGGTGATGTCTCAGTGCGCGAGCGCTGTTTCAACTACGGTCATTGTGCGTCCACCACGTGACCCGGAAACACACACACATATATATATATATATATATATATATATACACACAACCCGAGGCTGGAGTGTGTTAAAGACGGTGTGCAACGTTCATCACAGCCCGAGCTGTGTGATGGAGCCGGACGGTTAGATCATCATGCGCATCTATTACCGGCACTAAGGTACAGGCGCTGCGAGCAGCCAAAAAGCTCCAACATGCACTGAACTCCGGAGATCATTCGGACGTTCTCCAGCAGGGGGTGTTTGTGTAGAGGCCAATGTCAGTGAGAGCCTCTGCACTCTGCAGATCCTTAGTGTTTTCTCCGGAGGTTTATGTGTAAACGCAAATGTCAATTTATCAATCAATCAAATTTGATTTGCATAGCCCATATTCACAAATCACAATTTGACTCATAGGGCTTTAACAAGGTGTGACATCCTCTGCCCTTAACCCTCGACCAGTAAGGATAAACTACAGAAAAACACTTTTAACAGGGGGAAACGAACACAGTGAGACCGTTTCTGCAGACTTTCTCTGCCTGGACTCCGAGTATGAAAGGGGTAGTTCACCGAAAAAGGAAAATTCACTCATTATCTACTCACCACTATGATGATGGAGGGTTGGGTGAAGTGTTTGAGTCAACAAAACATTTTTGGAGTTTCAGGGGTAAACAGTGTTGCAGCCAGATGTCAATAAAATTGAAGTAAAAGCGACTTCTTCAAAATGTAAAAAACAGAAAATGCCTCCATACTGCTCGTGTGGTGTCATCCAAGTGTCCGTAAGCCCCGACATTCATATTACACTTGAAACTGCTCCATTTACACCATGTTTTTAGCCTAAATGTCCTCTGATATCCGCCTCCTATAGTTAATGCTGCAGTACGCAGGAGCTAAGAGACATTCCATGTGTGCCAGTGCCAAACTTCAAATGATTGTGTAAGTATCACAATTATGTTACAATGATACCTCCACCAAGGCCAAACGTTCCCCTGATGAAACCACATTTAAATTCACCATCTTTAATCAGATCTGCACCAAATTGAACACACTCAATAGCAGTCTCTGAAACATCCCTGATTTTTTCATCAAGATCCACAAATTACTGAGATTCTAACTTCCTCTAACAAATATCATCACGCAATGTTAAAGAAAGTGAAAAATTCCTGGATCAGCCCCCTGTTCCTGACCTGCACCAAAATTGAATGGATTCTTTCCTAACCCATGCTGCATCTTTAGTCCAAATTTTGTGGTGATCCGTCCAGTAGTTTTTGCCAAATCCTGCTAACAAATAGACAAACAAACAAAGGCAGTGGAAAACATAACCTGGCCACGTCCCAGAGTTGGAGGCATTATCTTCTCTGGGATTAACACACAAAGATGGCAGCAAGTTTATTGGTTTAAATGATTTATTCAGAAAAATAAGAAATCTCGCAGTCTACAGATCACAAAGAGACTGTGGCCATAAAGATTTACAATTAAATCAAAGCAGGTGAAAAACTATCATACCTGTAACATGGACAGAGTTTTCTATATTCTGGTGACATCATCAGCAATTAATCAAGGTTGGAGTACTCTATTCACGATTTTGATTTATTCAAGATGTAGACTTTACAAATTTACACCAAGAGAAGGTTTAGTAGTCAACAGTACTAAAACAGATGGGACTCCTCCTGCTTCAGCGGGTATGAAGTGGGCATGTGTGACAGAAAGCAGTAGAATTACTCAGGACAGATCACAGAGCAGATTCTTTAAGTCTCAGCTACTTCATGGTCGACGGCTCGAGTGGGCTCACGTCTAAGAGTTCTTCTGTGGAACCTTCATTGTCACCTGACAACACAGAAAAAAAAAAAAATTACTCAGCATTAAAGAATTATTGAATTATTTCAGTGTAATGAAAAGATCACTACCGTTGTGACAGTGCTTTAATATATCTCAGTGTGGTATTGATTTCACTGATACAACAAATACTGTTTCAATGATTGATCAATGATTGGTATTTCTTAAACAAAATGAATCTTTAAAAATGTATGTATAACTATATATAAGTTGGGCTGAACACACAAATACAATGATTTACTCATCTGAATTCTGTCCTAATGTGAACCTAATGTGAACCTCCGTCAAATAAAACAGTCGTCACAAGATATCTTTAGCCTGCAGCGTGCAGCAACATGCTGACTGCAGGAATGTCAACGAGAGCAATATCTGCAGAAATGAAAGTCCATCGTTCAATCCTCGGCAGTAGAAGAGGCCGTGACCACGTATCACTACACATGCAAAAGAGGAGTGACCCCCCTGGAGTACACATGCTCCAGATCAATACTTCCTGGATGTGGTCAGTTATTTGGTTCCATGAATGCACTGCAAAGTTTCTTATATAAGGTGTGATTACACAGTTAATGTTATTATACAGAAAGTGTGATTTTACAGCGCACTATGCTGGTATGTCTTTAATAATTACCGTCTTGACTTCTGTATAGTTGTCCAGACCGTACTCTCCAAGCTCTCTGCCGTTACCTGAAGCCTTGTAACCTCCGAACGGAGCCTGAGCCCCAAACACGTCATAACAGTTAATCCTGCAGGGGAACACACACCACACACACCAGTGAATGCTATTAAATCAATCATTTTGATGAGTATTGAGAGAATGTTTGTTTGCTTCATACCAGACTATGATGTGCATAGTAATGATTAAAGCAGTAAAACTCCTACCAGACTGTGCCTGCACGGAGCCCACCGGAGATATAGTTGGCCTTATCAATGTCCTTCGTGAACACAGCAGCTGCCAGACCATATTGAGTATCATTGGCTCTGTTCAGCACCTCCTCCAATGTTTTAAACTTCAGAATCTGCATCACTGGACCAAAGATCTGCAGGAGAGAACAGACCCATTCATAATTAAGACTAATTAAAAGCACCAGATCAAACCTTTTCACAAACAGACAAACATTTTCACCTTTTATGTTCCCTTCTCCATATTTGTACATAATATTAATATGTTCAGATCCCGATGTGGTATGACTGCTGAGTTTGATATAAGGGAGATTTACTGTTTGACTCTATCAAAGGTGAGGATTTGTTTCAGCTATGAGCAGCTGTGCGGATCATCTTTATCACAACAATCTATCCACTACCAGCCATCACAATGGAGGTGTTAGTGTGATTTATGTATTCAAAACATAGTTCAGTTTGCTGCTGCTGAGGCCCTAACACAGAACACCAGCCACATCTCAAAAATACATATAATAATAAATCATATATACAACAATATCTGCTGCATTTTCTGCATTTTAAATCTTCAGTCCTACCCTACCTCCTCCCTGGCAATGGTCATGTTGTCCTGGACATCTCCAAACACAGTGGGCTGGATGAAGTATCCTCTGTCTGCAGCCACTCCACCTCCACACATGAGCTTGGCTCCCTCCCTCTTCCCGCTGCTGATGTAGCCCAGAATCTTGTTGAACTGCTCCTGATCCACCTGGACGGGTCACAACAGAGGACTTCATTATCTCTGGGAGACTAAACAGTGAAAATGCCACTCAATTCCTTCATATGTGGAATGATTATTTTAAATGAATTACTAGTAGTGATATGAAGAATTATTTAGTTCCTCTGAGCTGCATGAAACTTTGTTGGTTGTCATATTATCACTAAAACAACCATTCTGACAGAGCTTCAATAATAATGGTTACACAACCGTTCCTGGTGTCTCTGTCTGCCCTCTCTTCCACCCACCTTTCTTCTCTTCCTCATTCTTGTCCTCCCTTTGCAACTGATTTATGAAGATTGCCAACTGGTTTTAGAGGTGTGTGTTTTACCTGAGGTCCCTGCTCGGTCTTTAAGTCAAAAGGGTTTCCAACGACTCGGTTCTTGGCGCGCTCAACACTGCGCTCCAAAAACTCATCATAGATGTCAGCCTGGACGTAGGTTCGAGAGCCAGCGCAGCAGCACTGACCCTGGTTGAAGAACAGAGCGAAGTGGGACTGCTCCACTGCATCTTCCACTGAATATGAAATGACAAAGGCAACATTAACTTCACTGAGAAAACAATATTAACATACTCCTCCACCAGTATGTTATTATGCATGTGACCTTATTCATTCATGTACTTAAGGAGTGTAGCCAGGGTGTGACACTGCACCATGACAGGTGTGTTTACAGGTCAGAGTCCATATTTGTTCATATTACACAACAGTTTTTAAGACTTTCCTGCAAAATTATTTCAAACAACCCACTTGATTCAGAAAACTGTGAACAGTGCACTTACTAATCACTACATGTTTCCCATTTAACACAGAACCAGGCGGAAGTAATCAGCCATAAAAAAAATTGAGAAACACTAGATTATCTTGTAAACCTGCTGCTGGGCCTCGATCACGCCCGAGTTCCTCCACTTCTCCTGAAGGCCTGCATCATGTCAGGTTTTTTGCTTAAGTTTGGATTATTCCAAAGCAATGGTACACCCAAATTCCCTCAAATCAGTGGCACCACATGCTCCCGCTTTGCTTAATAATAAAGATAATCCAGCCTTGATTAGGATGTGACTGTAAAACATACAACAGCATGTTGCAGCTGTGAAACGCAGTCAGGTGACATACTGTTGGCATCAGACAGGATGATGTTAGGGCTCTTTCCTCCCAGCTCCAGTGTGACTTTCTTCAGATTACTGCTGCCCGATGCCTGCTGGATAAGATGACCCACCTGATGTGAAAGAAAGAGATGAAATTTACACTTATTGATAGAAATATTATTGAAAAAACACAAGTGCAGCTTACTTAAGAAGGTATGCAGGTTACAAGTGGTCATTAGCCAAACAGATAGACTGAAAATAAACTGTGTGATGTATTGATGCTGTAGATTATTCTGTTTACATGCAAGTACTTCATAGAGAAAGTTTTCCCACATAGTAAACAAACGACTATGAGAGCAAGTTGACTCTTTAACACTCTTGATGTTTCTCTCTTCATGGATCGACCTTCGTCTACCACAATCTAATCAG